AAAAAAAAAAAGATTGCTTTTATTCGTGTTATGCATAATTACTACTACTACTACTACAAATTGTTATCAATGATAATAATTAATAATAATAATAATAGTATGTATTGTTTAACGAAGGATTACTGTTATTAATTAGTATTAACATCGATGTCGAATAGTTATTGTAGTAGTTTTACATGTTAATAAGTTTTTTTTTTTTTTAGTTTTTTACTACCACTACTACTTTTTACTACTTTTGGTTGATTTTAATATTTAAAAAAAAAATGTCCGTTTTTATTTATTTATTTATTTTTCGATTTTTACCACGTGCAAATAAAAAAAATAAATAAATAAAAATTGTTTGGCCCACTCATTATTTATTTTTTATTTTGTGCCTCATTTTTCAATTTTTTTTTTTTTTTTATTACAATTATTATTATTATTATTAACAATTTATTAACAATTATTATTATTATTGTTTTAAATAGTGGGGAGCGGGGGGTGGGGGGGGGTAAGAAGATGGGAAATGTTATTAAAACTTATGTAAATTTTGAAAATAGAATTCTAATACTATTCATTTTTATGAAACTATCATCACATTTTAAAAAAACTATTAAAATCCCTCTTATCAGTTTTTTTTTGTATTAAGGTTGGAAGGGCAGTACCTTCCTTCTAGAAAAAACTACTGACGTCATAACTACCAAATCGTTCATTAATTTTGCCTTAATAGTTATTATCAATCAAAAATATTATTATGGATGGGTAAATGTTTTGAGAAATAAATCTTTACTAACCGTCGAACGAATCATTATTATTACTATTACTACTATTATTATTATTATTATTATTATTATTATTATTATTATTATTATTATTATTATTATTATTATTATTATTATTATTAGTTGTTTTTCTTTATGGAAAAAAAAGATTATTATAACTTTGGGTTATCAACTTAATATTTTGCTGTTTATTTATGTATGACATCTAGTCTTTATTCTATATATCGATTAAATCGATGGTTTTTATTTATTATTAAATTATTATTATTATTATTATTATTGTTATTATTATTATTATTATTATTATTATTTATATTATTAATTTATAACGGCACGTAATAATGATGATGGGCTCGACAATATTTATCATAAGAAACTTTTGTTATTAATTTTTTAAATATTTTTTTTTGTTATTTGCTATGGTTTAATGATGATAAGGTTTTTTGCTTTAGGTTAAAAGGTCAGTCAGTCATTTAAAATATGTACATAAATGTGCACTTACATACCTGCGGAAAATAATATTTTGTTTATTTTTTCTCTATCGTTTATTTTGCCTTCTTTTAAACCTGAAATTAAAAAAATAATTATTATTATTATTATTATTTTGCCATTTCCCTCTCGCATTTTGATTTTTGTAAATATTCCCCCCTCCCTCGCTTCGATTATTGATATTATATAACATAATTAAATTTATTTAAAATTGAATAAAAAAATAAATACATAAAATAAAATTCTCCCTCGAGAGAGAGAGAGTGAGAAGGAGGAAAAATTTATTTTTATCATTAGGAAAAGTTAAATTGTTTATTATTATTATTATTATTATTATTTTGTAATTTTTCACGGTGTATTGTTTTGTTATAAATAAATAAAAAAAGAAATAAATAATTTTATTTAGTTTATACTTGCTTAAGTGTTTGCTTATATAAATATTTAAACTAAATTTTTTTTTTTTGTTTTTTTCCAACAAAATTGTTGTAAACAATTATTAATTTAATTTTTTTTTTTTTTTACCCCGGTTTTGTTTAATTTAAATAAATAAATAACACAAAATTTTTTTCATTTAATATTAACAATATTAAAATGTTTATAATAAAAAAAAAGAAAATTATTGTTGTTATTATTATTATTATTATCGTTTGAATAAGAGCTCTGTCAATTACGTAATAATAATAACAACATATTTAAAACGTCATAATTTTTTTTTTTTCATTTCAATTTTTTATTATTATTATTATTATTATTATTATTACACGTAGTTAATAGTTACTTAAGAATTTTTTCAAATGTTTATAGCATAAAAATTATCAGATGATTTATCCATAACATTTGTACGGTACGATTGGGCTCTGATTTAAACTGTTATAATAATAATAATAATATATGTATTTATTTTAATTAAATATTATTAAAAATGTATATTTAACGAAAAGAGAAAAGTTTAAAAAGATTTTAAAAAGTAGTTTTTTTTTTGTTTAATTATAAAAATTGGTTTGATGGGTTTATATATATTTATGTACTTCCATTTTT